GATTTGTATTAAATGCAAATTTTGTTGGATTGTGTGTTGGATTTTGTGCAGTCTAATCCAAAGCATACTTTGGGATTTTGTGCACAAGTCGAGGCATAAATCTTTTGTGGAACTCAACTTTAGGATTCTTAGGCTTCATGACTTGTTCTCACGCATTACAACACTCCCAGCCACACACACATACACAAAGGCACACTGCATACACTACTCACGCACAACACACACACACAACATACACACAACACACACCACCATAGAAAATCACCACCTCCACTTCCCAAGTTTAAGGTCTTTGCTATGGTGTTTGACAATTTGTATGTTAGGTGTTTGACAAAATGTATGTGAATTGTTTGAGCATTTTGTGTACCTATGGATATGCTTGTTTGATCCCCCTCCTAACATATCAACGACCCCACTTGCATTGTCTTGTTGATCTCAAAAAAAATTTGCCGAGTTTTGACTTTTTTTTTTTTTTTTTTTATAATTTGGTCACATGTTTTTGTACATTTATGTGCATCATCTTTCCTTCATAGGCCCATGCTGATGGAATGTAGCAAAGTGACATAAGTGAAGCAAATTAGTTTACTTAATTCACTTGTTCATCTCCAAGTTCCTTTTGATGTTATTTCTTTTTTTGGACAGCTAATGGTTATTCTTGGATTTCATTTATTGGGAATTTGAGTTTTAAGTTTTGCTTTATATTGGTGCGAATATATATATTCAAGTGTTGCGACATATGTATAGCCATATATGTTCCAATGGATTTTAATTTTTCCTAATCATTATTATTATTTGTGTTAAGTAGTGCCAATAGACGTGTTCATCTCTTATGATATGCTAAAGTTTGTTGCTACTAATTCAGGTTTATAAATAGGCCGCGAGATGAACGTAGCAGCTATATTCGAGTAGTGCAATTGTCTCTCAAGTATAATCAAAACAAAAGGAAGCAAGAAATGATTATATTATTTGCTGCAGGATAATTGCACTTACGCTTCATCTGAGGAGTTTACCATTGCAATTATGTGCTTTCATTTCTGTTAAATATGACAATAGAGAATTGATGAACCATTTTGGTAAACTAGATTAAAAAACAATTGTATTGTCTAATTACGATTAATGATCATTGTTTACAATTACTATTATTATGTTGTTACGAAGGTCCGTAAATTGTACTTTTTAAGAAAGATTTTAATATAATGGTGAGTGTTGGACTTTTTGAATATGATTATGAGATACATAAACTCTATAAACAAGTTGATATTTCTCTGGGTTCCTATTTTAAAGGAAATTATGCCAAATTTTTTTGAAAAAATATCAATCTTTGATTGATTTCAATTTCTTTAATTAAAACAAATGAAAAAAGAACTATGTCAAATTAACAGACTTTTTTTAGGATGCAAAGTAAATTCACGGGTTATTACTAGTAAAATGATATCTCATAGCTATCACACTTGAAGAAAAAGAAACTATGAAAGAGGTCGGTCGAATAAAAGCACGAGTCCTTATAGTCCCTACTAGTAAAGGACAAGCCAGCAAGTTCAACAGATCGGCAAGCACAGATGGGGAACAGGAGAGGGGGAGGATGAAGAAGCCCAAAGCCAGCATGTTAAACGTAACTAATGGCCGCATATTGGCATCCTAAATGTTAATTCTATTAAAGCACACGGTAAAATTTAACCAGCATACACCACTTAAGACTGCCCTAATATTGTGAAAATAACAGAATGGAGTTTAAATGAATTTAAAAAAATTCCACTAAAATGTCTCCCATCTCCGTATGAATAATGGATACACATTATTTTTCAGGTCAGGCACAAGGGATAAAAAGGAAAGCCAACGAGAAGGCTCCTGTGAGTGTATGTTTTGATTTGAATTTTGAATCTATCGGGTGGTTTCTACTGCATTATCTAAGACATGTTTTCATCAGACGGCTAGGAAAATTGGGGCTTTTACCATACATGACATCACCCACGCCACGCATAAGTACAAGGATAATAAGATATTAAGATTGCAATAATTGCATAGGTGCCCCCATCAAAACAACAGATACAAAGCAAAGTTGGAATATTGCTATATACTATGATCCCTCGGCTTCAGTTGTATTGGGATCTTCAGATCGACTCCCCAGCCTCACAATATCTTCAACAAGAATCTTCCCATCTGGAGACAAAGTTCACAGAAGTCAGGATTCTGAATATACAATACAATAAATTAGATTCATTAAAGTAGCAGTTTTATCTGTAGGTTGAAGTTGAACACAGGACATATGAAAAATAAAATACTATAAAAGAGATTCATTGAAGACGTCATCAATTTGTCTAGCTCAGCTGTATAGTTTCTAGGGATTTGGATCCCCTCCATTTCAAATTTTGGCAGTTTAAGTCACTCATCACTGATACTTAACGTAGATAATTTGTTACTTAACTTAGCAGGCAAACATGACCATTGAGACTTCACATTCTTGAAATCATTCTAATTCAAATCGGAAATATTGTTTCTTGAAAAACAACTTCAAAATTAGATGGCAAAACACCTCAATCCGGTCTTCGCACTTTGATCCTAAATTGGAAGAGATTCAGGTGGCGCTTCATCCAATTGTCAACAGCTACAAAACCGCCTCACCAATCATCCGAAATACATCCAAATGCCAAAAATGGATGGGCAACCCTTTAAAACCAATCCATCCACCCAAAATGGGAACTTTATTGTTCACGGAATTGGCTTCATGCTTCCATATCGATAATTTCAGCATTAATAAACTTCACAGAAGCAATTTCTATACTTGCACACAGAAAAAAGTTGATTTGTCAAACAACTATATCCTTCCTTCTCCCTCTACACAGTAATCAAAGAATCACCAACAATGTGCTTGTAATTTGGTTCTAGTTATCTAACATAAGTCCCACTCTAGCATCCTCATGTATGTCCACAGAACTCAGTCCTCTGTTTTCAACCATAACAAATTGTCTACTTAACTCAGCAACATGCTTCCACCCACTTCCCTCTATTCCTTTGGGAACAATCATTCCAGATCTCCTACCATTGTTCAGTGATTTTAATGAAGTTTGTTTCCCTCCCCCTCCCCCTACTATTCCATTTCACAGCTTGCATTACCAAATAGTTCCAACAAATCACACAGTTCTTGTTCAATGAGAACGAAAAATTATATCGACATCCCTCAATAACGTAAATCAACTGCCCACTAGGGTCCCTATTGAAGTTGACCACGAAATTTTTTTGTTAAATCTTCAGTTCCCTCTTCACTCTTAGCACAGATGAGCAACGAAGGCATAATAGAACATCTAGCAGTTCTAAATAAATCCGTTCTTTTTTAACAGTATTAAGATAATGTTTTTATTATTGATTACTTGAATAATCATGTCTGGCTTGGTTTTGGCCCTCCAAGAAAGGATAAGACAGAAGAATTAACTTCACGACATTGCCAGACCTTTCTTTCATGAGCCAGTTTGAGAAAAGCAATCCCTCAAAATGGGTTAAGGGTGAGTTAAGAATGAACACCATTTTGAAATAACTTGTAGCCAATACAATTTTTCATGATTTTTTTCTTTCAAGATTCAATTTAATTCCATTTTATACTTTTAAAGAAGCAACCTATATTAGCTTGTCTTCAAATGTAACACAAGGTTTCGCTTATTATAATGTGGGTCAAAAGCAAACAAACCCTCATCCTCGTTGACCTTCTTAATAAAAATATGCTATTCTACCATGTTTCATCCTATTTTGACCTTCCTCTCTCGTCTTCAACTTCTGTCTCTCTAATATAACTTTCTATACATAGGTAACCTGAGAAAGAATGTTTTTTGTTTTCAAAAAACACCCAACAGAAAAGGTGTCTTCTTCTAAAAATTTGTGAAGATATCAAAACTGTAGCCTGCCAATTCTTGGAAGTTGTAATTGACACTAAAGCTTTACAATCATACGTCTGCACCTTCAACTTCCAAAGGTTTTGGCTACTGAAGATTTCACTTGGTTCAGACAGAAGTCTTTGCAACCACCTCCCCCTTTCCTTTCTTCCTGGTTTTTATTATGACAAAAATAATAATGCAGAGATCTTTCACAATTTCTACTAAACATGCAAAATACATTCTTATACACTGTTCAAAAGCCACTAAAAAAGAATAGCACAAGCAACTGATGAATCATTATTAAAAAAAACACTTTGAATTAGTCACCTGTGTCTTTAGAAAGGTTGTTGATGAGTTCATGAACTCCCTCCTTGCTTAAAGTATCCTTCAAGTACACTGCCGCAGCTGCCACCTCCTCAGGAGTCACTTTCCCATCATAATCTCTGCGCATACAAACAGCACCAATGATGCGTTTTACTAACAACCATATGCCACAAACGAAATGAATCTAGTAGGTAAAAGTCTGTTCAAGTGTCATCTACACAGAAATGGAAAGTCAGGACCAACGGCAGTCATGCAAGAAGATGAACCAAAGTCTGCCCAGTCATGAATAAATCACACTGAGGAATGAAAATGATCAATATGGATGCCAACATCCAATATATGGATTGTTGTCACTAGGCAATATTCCATTGCTAGGTCCCACGAGTCCACAATTCTCAAATGTTATGGTGGAACAACTAAGGCATCAAACGTTTAATATAAACAAAACTACTTTAGCTACACAAACATACATGTTATGTTTCACAAAAAAAATTACTCAAACAAATCATCACCTACTGGTCAAACTCAATACTGTTCATCTGGGTAGCACACTAATCTACCATATTTTCCAATTCTGCAGAATGAATTTAAATCGGACTAGTAATTGGATCCGGTTCACCATCTAATAGGAAAATACTGATCCAGTTGTCTAGCTGACAAAACAACTTGTCAGTGTACAGAACTGATCCCATCCTGGTAGAGATTTGGTTTCATTTTAAGGTAGAATCAAAATATTTTTTCACCTTGAAAATTAGAAATCAATAACATAAAAATCTGCCTGATATCTCGAATTCTAAGAACGTTTTGGGAATATTAGTCTACAAAACAGCTAAACCAGCACAAACTCTTTAGCCCGGTCAGGGAAGCACAAAAAATGTTCTCACTAACTAAAATAATTCTTCTACTAGCCTTTCTGCTTTATAATCCACCAAAAAGTAGCATGTCTAATGCAACTAGGCAAAAGTATAGAAACAAAAAGCAACAGAGTAGGGGTATGATCAGTTGGACATTGGCCAGTGTTCTTCCCAACAGCTCCAATAAATGTACCTACACCCCATTCCATCTGGAGAATGATATGATTGACCGAGAGTACTTATGAAATCCGGTAGTGAACTAATGATTTTATCTGTGACCTCCTGAACTATTCGTATCGTTCTCTTCGGTTAAAAAAGGCTATGATGAAACTTCATATCAGCTTCCTAGCGTTGAACTCCCGCAGCTTTGGTCTCTCAGCCCAGATGGAAATGGAAACTCCAAAACAACCTAAAACCTCATTAGGCATACCCATCCTAAGGTCAACTATGGAGGCATCGTTTGGAACAAATTCAATATCTCCAAGCACAGTATTATCGCCTGGATGACCCTCAACTCTGGGCTTTTTACCGCAGATCGAGTTAGCAGATTTTATCCCAACTTCATGACTCTATGACCTGTGCATGCTTGAAGATGAAAGTGCCCTGCCAACCTAATATGCCCCCAGGATTCCCATAGATGCAAAGCATAGTACAACTACCAACAACTTTGCAAAAAATTAGTCCCTAGAATAATCTGCACTCCAATTTATTGTTTACCAACTATTTTAAGCTCTCTGAAAATTTCATGCTGGAAGGATTCTGTCCATTTGCTTGTGAAAACCACCAAAGATTCACAATGAACTTACTCCTACAGGTCCCCAAAAAAGATTTTGGTATAATTCTTGTGAAGCCTTTATTTCTTCAGTCCTGAATTTTTTCCATTTCTTAGTGATCATTGGCACCTTTTTCTATGAAAGAACACTCCTGCCTCATAGTCCCTGAAACATCCAAGGACATAAGTTCTTAACCTCAAACTATGACCTATTAATAGCATCGAAAGAAATGACCTATTAATGATTTGTCAAATAACTAATATTGAGTGTGCAACTCCAAATCATTAACCTAGGTCCCACACTCACCTGCTTCCCATTCTAGTGCAGATGTCCTCTGATGAGTGCGCGAAAGTGCATTCTAAATACCCTTATATTGGGTTAAAATGCTAAAATGTAAATATAAATAATTAGATATAATTTATATTATTGAATTTGATATTTATTCACACTGAGATGTATTTGAACATGATTTTATAATATTTTAAATCTTAAATATTATATTATTGGTTGGTGAGAGATAATTTACAAATGAGATTTACAATTAACATTTTTAAACTTTATTATTCGGCTTTTATATTTGTTTTTATTTTGATGGCAGCCCATGGAGTAAAAAAGCTGAAGTTAATGTAGCTGTCAAGTGGCCCCAGCACTTATAATTTTTATTGGGCTTCATCTTTCTCAAATTACACAAGATTTGGGTTTCAGGGGCTGAAGTAAAAAGGTTAGAATCAAGAGGGGATGAAAATGATTTTTCTCAAGAAAAGAGTTTGACTTTTAAATACTTCTTGTTTTCTTTTCCTTTGGGGGAGGGGGAGGCGGCTATGCCTTTTCTTTTCCTTGGGTGTGTCACGGCTAGAAGAATAAAAAAAAAGCAAAGAGAGGCGGCTTCTTCTTGGACTGAAGGCGGACGCAGATCAGGAGAGGAGAAAAGCTCCGATGGCAGTCAATTTGCTCTATTTCTTTGGGAGATTTTTGTTGTCCATTATATTTATGGGTAACTAAATTCCTAAGGTAGGGCCAAAGATGAACTTGCACAGTAGATAGTATTTTATTTATTTTTAATTTATGCATTTGAATTCTAATTAATAAAATTGTTTTGCTTTATCAAAAAAAAAAAAAAAGCAAAGAGAGGCGGCTGCTTCTTGGGCTGAAGGTGGATGCAAATCAGGAGAGGAGAAAAGCTCCGATGGCAGCCAATTTGCTCTATTTCTTTAGGAGATTTTTATTGTCCATTATATTTATAGGTAACTAAATTCTCAAGGTAGGGCGAGGGATAAGCTTGCATAGTAGATGATATTTTATTTATTTTTAATTTATGCATTTGAATTTTAATTAATAAAACTCTTTTGCTTTATCATTCTCAATTTATTGTTGATATTTTCTTCTCCGAATAATCATAGAATTTATTCTGTTTATGAATTCAATCATGTTTTTTTTATTGAATGGATTAGTTCTTTGATTATGTTTGAATCAATTATTTATCTATATTGATTTAATTTTTTGTTGCAATATCGCTTCTTAAGTATATTGTCGTCATTGAATTTACTCAATAGTGATAATAATTTACGTATTTTCAAAGTGGTGAATGATTTTTCAAAGGGTTACATGTAGTTTAATCTTAATTTATAAATCTACACCTTCCAGTTGGAAATTTTGGGAATTGAATTTTCAATTGAGTTATTTAATGAATTAAGAATAATTAAAATACCAAATTTATGCAAGGAATTCCCGACGCTTTACTGTTTGTCAAATTTGAGTACTTTTTACGTTAGTCACTTTGCTTCACTTTAATTTGCATTTAAAATTAATCTTTGTTTTTCAATAACCATTTAATATTTTTCTTTAGTTTCTTTGTTTCTTTGTTTCTTCTACTATTCTTTCAATTAGTCTCTCTGTGGAATCGACACCCCCAAGCTGTGCTACAACTACCACATTATTCTTTAGGTGTAATCACCCTCTGACCTTTTTTCCCAGATATATCCATTTGTTATGTATGTCTAAGATGTATATGGACATATATATCTCACCGCTAGTAGTCCCAACAAAAGCCAAGACCAAGAGCACCCATCTGATCGCTGAGACAGTAGTATCAATTATGATCATAAAGCCATCAATCCTTTCCAAATAAGTAAATACAAATACAGCCTAGATTGAGTCTGTTCATGGAGCCATATGCTATAAACAACACAGACAAAGAAATCGTAATGTCTAATTGACTTACAAGACATCTTGGTGGGATTAACACATATCACGAGACGACTGGGGACATGCGTAACTTCTTACAAACCATCCCCAAAAAGCAATGTAACCACTTGAATACACCTCCAATTGCTTCATCATTCCTCCCCTTTATCATCACTTAAACTTTCATCTCTAATTTTAATACACCAGAAATTATCTGATCTTTCATGCCAAACACAGCTCCTTTTTTTCTTTAGAATCTATAGTAGCAAAAGCCTCATGCACTACCAACTGCCCCACTATAATTTTGAAAAAATTTGGGAAGTAGTTTGAAATTGTTTAAAATTTTAGAATTTCTTAAGATTGCCCCCATTGAAATTTTTGAAAACTTATGGGTAGGTAGTGATCTATTTTCTAACACATGGGTAGCTTTAGTAAAAGTTAAAAGTGGCTTTTACACATCTCGGGTCACAACTTTCAATTGCCCCATGCCCTTTTTCGGCCGTCTCCTCTCTTGTTCTCTCTTCTTCTACTTCCAAAATCCTTGAGTTCTTCTCTTTGTTCCACCTCGGCATTCTTGGACACGCACTTCACTCTCTTCAATTTTCTTTCCCACTTCATTGCCTCTCGCTTTACTTGTTACTTGTTCCTCTCTCAATTCCCACCAAATCATCGTTGTCCGGGTCTATTGAGAGGATAGGTTTTAAGGAAATTGGAGCTTAAGAGATTCTATCAAAGATGGCCAGTCGGCAAGTAAACCACAAACGATTTCTTTGATTTCGATTATAATTGCATGTTTCTAATACTTGGGCCAGTGATTAGGGTTTCTATTTTCTTACCTCTTAACTTTTTCTTGATAAAATAAATTTGAGATTTGATTATCTGGAAGAGAACTATGGAGATTCAGTTGTTTGTGTATTAATGTATTTGGAATATCATTTGCATTACGCAACGGTTCAGCAATGCGACTCGCATTGGTGAAATTATGATTTTGTTTTGTGAATTGGAAGCTAAGGTGGACATATTTTGGAAAATAGGTTGAAGGATTACTCTCCCCACTTGATTGAAAGCTAAAATGTTGGGGATTACTTTTTAGATATAACCATTTCGGTTGGTTGGTCTCAAGTGATTTGATTGTGATAAATTGAGGTGTCTATATCTAAGTCTGATTTAATAGAATTGTGATAAATTTAATTTTTTGAATTATTTATGTTAAAATTTGTTAAATTTTTATAAACAATTTTGATTGATTGAACTTGAATAATAAATACTAAGTTTGTGTCTGCTAATGAAATGGTGAATACAACGATTCTAAAATATTGAAACTTGTCGGAACAATTATCCAAATTTATAGGATGTTCAATAGTGTAGATCTTCCCATGTATAGCTCAGTCTATTATTGAGCACAATATTTTTTTGTACAAAAGTTTTGGTCAAGTCTTGTAGAGAATTTTATCGTGAGCTTTCTTTGTTGGCTCTTTTTGCATATTGCTCGTAAATACGGGTTGCGTCTTTAATTGACAATCTTTTAGTGAAACTCAACTTCTATGAAAATAACGTTAGCATTTGGAGTTTAGTATTTATATGTGGAAAGTTGCCCCCACTTGAAAAGATGTTTGGCTCCACCCTTGTGTGCACTGCATTGCCATTTCTTCTTAGTATAACTAAGGTAGATGATATTTCCAAGCACAGTAATTTTGATCACTCATAAATTAGTGTTATATGCAAAAGGACAAATACATCTATACATAGTTATCAAAATCGTACGATTCACGATTCAATTCATATGATTCGGTTCGATATAGGCATAAAATGATTCATATCTTATATGAGAATCGTTTTTTAGAGTTGAATCGTACGATTTGATTAGTATCACATGAATCGCATGATTCACTCATTTTTTTTTAAAACCCAAATTTTTAGTAAAACGGCGTTATTTTGTCCGCTAAACAGTAAAACGATGTTGTTTTATTTGCAGAGGAACCCACGCCTTAATAAAAATTCAGTCTTTTTGTTCGTTCTCTCTCTCTCTCTCTCTATGATATCGTCTAAAGCTCGCTTTGTGTTATCGAAAGCTAAAGATCATGGCTAACACTCTCGCACCATCAGTTAATTTTTGCTCTCAATTCTTTTATGGGTAATTTGTTAGATTTTAATTTATTTTATTTCAAAATGTTGGCCTATATATTTTCTCCCAATCAATTTTCTTATTGTTCTTTTTTCATTCATGTTTGGTTCTTGAGTGTCATTATTTTGGTTCTTGAATAGCCATGGTTCTTTCATGAATTTTTTTTTTAAATTGTTGAATTTGAAAATGATTAAGCAAAAGATAAAAATGAAACAAAAAACTAGCATCTTTCTATTTAGACAACGTGATTATCTCAATTAATTTTTTTTAGAATGCAATAATGTTTAATATTCAATATTTTGTCTATTTTAAATATGTAGTATTATTTTTTATTTTCATTCAAATTTTGTGTCTAATCTTACGATTCACAATTCTCAAATTTAGGATTTAGATTCACGATACGAATCGCGATTTGACAACTATGCATCTATATTATATGAAACTCATTAAGATTCAATAGGCCACGATTAAGCCATCTGAGCGCCCCTCGATTTTGTAACCAGTACTGCAAATGGAACCTTGTTTGATGAGCAGCAAAGAACAATAACCTGCCAAGCATAATCCTAAAAGCTTTAACTCACCTGTCAAGCACTCGCCAACGGTCACCAATTTTGGCATCAACATCATCAATTTCCTTTTCAAGGTTCTGAAGCATAGCATCAACCTGAAGTATAACAGTCAAAACGAGCCAATACCATGTCAAGTGGCCATTGTATTGCAATGAGTGCCTGACAAAATTTTTTTTCTAAATTGCAATGTTTGAGATCAACTTCAGAGTCTTACCCTATCTATGAGGGCTGAAGAAACATCATCACCTACAGCCACTTCAATAGAATCATCACTTCCCTCGCGGGCAGCTCTATATACCTTCATGGCCTCTTGTTGACCAACTGTCCCCTCTTTCTCTACAATGCTGTTATACAGTTCAATCTGGAAAGGTAAAAGCAATCTAACATGAATCATATGTAAAAGATTAGATATTATTTAGAGTATGGATAACACGAAATCAGAGCTAGTCATTTTCTATGATAGAATACAATAATACCTTTATAATGAAGGGGGAAAAACTATACATGAAATGTAGGGAAAGAGAACACAACTAATACCAGGCATTTCCATAATCCACTTAATAACAAAGTCCAGACACCTTAAAATGGCAGACAAAAAGAAGAGCTCCAATGAACCTAAAGATTAGTTGGTTGGCTACAAAGAAAGATTTGGGAACAAAATTGAGTAGACATAATGCATATAGAAATTGTAGAATGACATTCAAAAGTTTGATCAAGTGTACAACATTCAAAATGCCCTGATGGAGTGTTGACAGAAGTTAAAGGTGATTGTTGTCCACATATACATGAAGAAACACTAAGGTGGTGTTTGGGTAGTGGGTTAAAGGTGGTTATCCACTAGTTGAATGGGATAAAATAGGGGTGGCACCCCAAATGACCCTTGTTTGGGGATGAAAAAGGGAGACTGGATATATGTTAGTATGTATGCTATTCAATTTAATGAAGCTTGTAAATATGCTCATTTTCCTAATTTTGATTTTCTCTTTATGTTGGTATTTGCAAGTAAGTGTTGTCTTCTTATTGCATTTAATTTCGATTTCAACAATTTAACATCAGTCATGTGTGCTAGTTACGATGTTTATATATTTTTCAAACTAAACTATGTAGAAAAATGAATGTGTTGCTAACTATTGTTTGGATACATGCCCCAACTTCCATTATTACGAGGTGATTTCCAAAAGAGATGCACCGAGTTCAAGCAACCAACTAGGGGATATTGTGGGCTCATCACCATATGTAAATTTGGGAAAAAAGGTGGAGGTCATAGTCATTGACGATTGACCTGCTCGGTTCCCGTACAGAAATTGTATCCAATTATTATGGACATTTTCAAACGTATTATTAGTGTAATGACCACAAGCCATTTTTGGTTATTAGCATAGTAAGCTTGTGCAGTTGTATGTGTATAATAAATGCAAGTAATTTACCAATGACGGTGCCAATTTTTGTATGTATTGTATGAGGCAACATTGAATTTATAGTGAACATTAAATCGATTGCCTTATTTTTTGGTGCATTTGTTGTATAAGGGAGCAAATGATTATATCCATGTGTTGTTTATTACAGTTTACGAATGTGTTGTTAATTTAATTCAATATATTAATGAATATATTTTATTATGTATAAATGTGACATGAGAAATATTTCATCTTGGTAGGTTAACCCATTAATTCAAACAAAAGATTAGATTGGATATATTCATGGGTAGAATGATAAACATCTACAAAAGAAATGGTCTAATTCATGGGGCCCACATAATTGCACTTTTGTTTCCCAAACAATGGTTTGGATTGGATACAATTCCTAACCCATCCACTTTAAGAAGCTGGGTTTGGGTTGGATGGGTTAGGATATAAAAAAGAAATTCTAGCCTATCCAAACCCATTATCCAAACACACCATAAAGAAACTTAGATTCAAAAAGAAAAGACCGAGAAAAACTTTTGTCTTAATGTGATATAATACTCATGCAGAAGTGTTTTTATTGGTTCTCTTAAGTATGTAAGCTAATCTATTAAAATCATTATTTATTAACTACTGACTGCTTATCCATGAGTCATCCTAAAAGAAACAAGCAACAATCTTAAATCCAGCATAAGACACAGGTATTGAAAATAAACGCTGAAGGTTTCTTCCACGCAAAGTAACAAATTCACACCAAAAGTAATTAATTTGCTATGCCTATAATTCAGCGATACCTCCTTATTGACAAGCCTCAGGAACTCTTCACGCTCCCTACTGACTGACTGCACAAATTAGAAGTAAAAGCAAATTTAAAATACAGAGGACATTGTAAAAATAATGAGGAGTCTGTGTATCCACTTGGAGAAACTTAACAACCAAAGAATCTTTTAGACTTGATCCTTACAGATGCAGAAGCTAAAACAGCCAAGGCCCGACTGAGTTCACAAAGCAGCTCCTGTTTGTCCAATGCTCTTGCTCTAGCTTGCTCTTGTGCTTCTCTTTCCGTAGGACCGGTAATCTCTTTCAAAGCCACGTCCTCTTGACTAACAAAAGAATCCTTCTTCCTGGCTTGCTCTTCCTCGTCTTTCTCTTCCTCTTCCTATAATTAGGTATCCAGTTGATTATTTAAAAATCGCTTAAGTAAACCACGAATAGTACTTCATGGGTGAGGTAAAGGAGTAGCCTTCAGGCTCAACCTAAATGACAGAAGACTCCTGTTGTAGGTGTACAAACTACAGAGACATCTGCCTTGAGGCTTCAGCCTCATTTCCCAACCAAATCGAAATTCTACCGTACTACTGATTGAAGCTAATCACTCCTCTTTTTCACTAGGGTATGTATTTCTTTCAGAGGGGGAGAAGGGGGGGTGCTTGAAGTCCAAACAGCAGCAAAACACTAAAGAGTGTTAAAAGTTTGCCAAGACAAAGAAGCTGTTAATAGAGAAGGAACAATAAACTAAGGTATTATCAACCTTGATCAATTCCTCTTGCATTTCAAGGAACTCCAATTTCCTCCTCCTTTCTGAAACGGAATCTTCAGATGGCAAGGCTGTGACTCCAACAGTATCCACAACCTCATCTGGAAGTGAAGATAGGGTGGCTCCAACAACTTCCTCGGGCCTCAATTTTCCAGATACAGTGAAAGCTCTGGATCCAGTATAAGACCAGAAACAAGTCAGATGTGTCCAAGAATATGCAGATGAGGTTTCAATTTTAAATTTGGCATGAAAAGACTAGTATGGGCTTCCAAAAGTACCTGGAAAGAATCAACAGCGACGATGGTACGGAATGATTCAGAGATAAATCTAACCAATCACGAAGCTGCAGGAAAAAGGTTGATTTAATTAAATAACCATTTGCAACTTCCGCATGCTAAAATCTACCTTATCAAAAACGCTATATGGAGAGAATCAGCAGCTTATGATTCATCCAACTGGTTTTATATAATTTGGCATTTGTTGGCAAAGTGAGTACCGCAATTAAATGTGCTCGAGATACAATTACCAATGGTAATACAAGAGGTTTGGTTACTAAAAATTGTTTGCAGTCAATTCGTATACCATTATCTACATCCAGATTAAATCTAGTAAAAATTATTTGCAGTCAATTCATATACCATTATCTACATCCAGATTAAATCTAGTACAAAGCATATTTGAGTATTATCCAGTACATAGAATGTACTCCTCAATGAAGCTATGTAAGCTTTAAATCTTGTGGGACTGCTGGGGGCACAGTGCACACCAAGGGCTTATGGGCAGGTGCTAGGTCAATGTTAGCACATGCATATCCATATGTACTGAGTATTCCACTATTTACTATCTAAATTTAATATGGGAACATAATCATAAATCAGTTGTAAAAGTTAATGCTATTTGTCACATTCTAATATGCAGAAGCATAACAAAAATGCACAGTCGGTTCTAATTTAAGATTGGAAAAACTACCTGTTGGCGCATTTCTTCTGCTGAAAGTAATCCAAGCATGCCACGCTCTCTACAATCCTCACGAAGTTCAGCCTCTGAAAGTGACTCCACACCCTCGGCTTGAATCAGTTTATCATCATTCTTTATCCTGACAAGGATTGTCCCAAAAAAGATCGGCACCTCTAATATGGATAAATTTCTTATTCAACCAAATTTTACAAAGATTGTTTTAAAAGTAGAAACCAAAAAATTGTAGTATTAACAATTAATTAACAGTGACCATCCCAACCCACAACCCCTACATATTAACGCATAGCCTTACTGAGTTTGAGTTCGCAGGTGTGTCGGTATTAGCTCATTGTTCCAAAGTGTGCACTTCATTTAGATTATGAAGATATTAGGTTTTGAAGAAACTGAAAGAAAGAGTGAGAGAAGAGGAAAATATTATGAGAAGAGAGTAGTGTTATAGGGTTACACGACTAATACCAGCTTTTATATATAGTCAAGTCAAACCCAAAAATTATAGGAGGAAGGAAAGAAAAAGAAGGAATGCGAAGAGACTCAGAGAGACACTAAATAGATGACTTGAACTAAAGGACACTTGAAGGGAGATGATTAATAAAATAGGCAGCTGTAAGAATTGCATCCCCCTAGAAAGACCGAGGAACACTCATAGTAAAAATAAATGAACGTGAAAACTGAGTACTCACACTGGTGATTTGATACAGAATGTCATTCTCATAGAGGTAAGAATGAAATTCTCATCAATAAGCTTAGTTCCGCTATCACTTCAAAGAATTTTGACTTCAACATCAAACTGAGTACTCACTTTTTTATGAAAAGATCTAAAGCATGAGAAACCTTGACTTTTACTATGTAGGAGGTATAATCAAGTAAGACAAGAATAACAATCAATAAAAGTAACAAACCAACAATAACAAAAAAATAGACACAACACGAGAAAGGCCCCACACATCAGAATAAATAATGACAAAAGAAACAGTACTTTTATTATTAGTACTAGGATAAGATAAATGTTTATGCTTGATAAATACTTAAGCATCACAAACAAAAAATTGTCTACTACACTATTTTACTAGAATAGAAAAAAGCTACTCTAAGACACCAAATGAGGGATACCCCAAACGGCTATGCCATTGATGTGAAAGGTGAAGTGTCAAAACACCATCCGCCTGGAGAGCTTAACAAGTATACTGAGAAGAAAGTTCAGCATCTAGGAGATACAAACCACCATGTACTATACCACTACCAACCATTTTCCTCGATTCACAATGAGTTGGGAAAAAAGTATTGACAATTCAAAGATTTTGTAAACCTACTAACAGACATTAATGGAAAAAATGAGAATATGAAGAACCGAGAAGACGGATAAAGAGGGTAAGCAATTAATTGACCTTTCTTAAAAATAGATGATAAAGATCCATCTGCCACCTTTACTTATCCCCACTAAAACATATAGAATATGAAGAGAAAATACTAGAAAAATCTGTCATGTGATCTATGACTACAAAATCTATTACTCAAGGAGTATATGAAGATAACGTAGTAAACACATTAGAAGATATCCTTGTATGAGCAAAGTTGGAAGACGAAGAGGCAAGATTAGCAACGATAGTAGAGGGAACATCAAGCCAAACCATCAGACACCTAAAAATGTATCTCATAATGAGGTAAATTAGAGGGAGCAAACTGAGATGGAGGCTCTGAAGATTTAGTCATATGTGCATGAGATCCCACATTACTCCCACGGTCACATGTAGAACGTCTAGCTAGCTTCCAACAAAACTCTCGAGTATGTCTAGTATTGCCACAATAGTCACATTTTAAGATGTCCTTAGCAACAATGTCACTCGTCTCACTAGCCTCGAATCTCAGTAGACTTGAGCAGGGCTAAACTCAAGTCTTTTTGAGGGATAATAGCCAATGCAGCCTGTTCCTGAGTGGGAGCATAAACCATGAAATTCCTCCAAATCTCCTCCAGTTAAACATGAGCATAGGAATATTGCGAAGTAGGAAATGGACTACGACCCAAAATTTAAACCCAAAACTGATCATACTCAATATTAAGACTAGCCAAAAAGTCATACACTCGTTCCTTCTCCACCATTTATTGAAATTTTACATCATTAGCACAATATGCTTGGAAACTCTGATAGTAATCAAGCTCCCGCCACAAGGTAGTTAACTCTGCATCATAAACTACAAGGGCCTTGTCTTTCTTATTAGTCTCTCGGACTTCTTCTGAAGATCATATGCCTTATTGTCCCTTTGAGAATACGTATGGGACACAGTGATAACGACTGGAAAATGCATTAGTAAAGTATTTTATCTTAGTTATTTTTCTGCATTTTAATTATGCTTTATTACTTCCAATTCATTTGGGTTTAGTTTAGAATAACTTGCAAAAAGCGTGTTTGTTTTGGTATTTTATTTTTTAGTGGATTCAAGTCCATCCAAATGTACAATAACTCAAGAGGAATGAATGCCCAATACTAGAGGAATGATAATGCTATGAAAAATCAAAAGCTAAGCCCATGGGTGAGCCCAAGTTTGGAGCCAAATAGTTAAACACTATGTTGCAGATTTCTAGAAGTTGACAGCCTGACCTATGCTCAGTATTTTGGATATAACTCTCGACTCCAACATCCAATCAAGATGAATCTTGACTTTATGGAAAGCTAATTCCCAAGTCTACAGCTCTCTAGACTTATCCTAAATGTCAGATTTTGCCTTATCTTAAATCCCACTTTTTCTGAGTCAAAAATTACCTGAAAAGGACCGTTGGTGTTGAAAGATTTGAAGAATCAGCAAATCTGACAGTCTCGGTTTTTAAGTCATTATTTTTGGCTCAGAGATTCAATTGTTTTAATTTTTGGTGATCTAAAATAAGACTTCTAGAGCTACAACTTTGTAGTTGGACACTTTTTCTAAATTATACGTTTTCTTAGTTACAAACAGCCAAAAAGACAGATGTGATGTTGGAAAACGAATCTGGAAGATTTATTTTCAATTCTTTTCTCTATCCCCCACTCCTATAAATACCCCCCTAAGTCTTAGATCTCAACACGCCTTAGAGAGTCCTTCTTCTCTTGTTTTAGCTCTCATTTCTCTTGTAATTCTTTCTCTTTGTAGTTGTAATTCTTCTTATTTTTGAGAGATTTATCTCTTCTTTTCCATACTCATCATCTCCTAACTTTGCTATAACTATGAAGAGTGAGTAGCTTTCTTATTCTCTTTTAGTTAAGAGTGAAGGTTTTGTAAGTCATATTAGATGTTCTATTTATGCAATATCATTTTGGTTTAATGCTTCATCTTTCTAAGCTAGACCTTGGTATAAACAATACTTACAATTCCCTGCAAGTATTGAAGCTTGGTCTTCATAGTTTCACATTCAATTGCCGAAACATTCTTGGTTGTTTACGAAAATACCATCTGGTTAATCTTGCGCTAACTCTAGGATTAATTGAGTTATAAATTGCATAAATACATATCAAGTACATACAAACAATTCCGGATCTCTAAACTAAACATTCATCACATAAAGGTATCAATTCTTTTCTCCATTAATCTTAACTTAAAACAACGAAATTACTTCCCTATCAATCGACCTCGAACTTAACCGAATTTATTATTACAGCTTGACCACCAGCACTTGGGTATACATTTGAGAATCAAAAAGTACACAGTAGCCCAAATATATCAAATCACAAAAAACCACGACTGATAGACAGTTGCATTGAGATAAGCAACCAATACATACCAAAACATTCTCAGATGTCCACTGCCTTGAAGAGGTACTTGAATCACTACTAGGCTTTTTAGTCTCCCCAGCCAAATACCTGTCCAAAGATATTGCTTGGACTGATAATAAATAGGCCCATGAGTCATGACCATGCCAAGTAGTCACTCCCATCCAATTTCTACGGGCTAATTTGGAGAGAGAAGTTTATTTGCAAGAGTCCCTCAATGACTTACCCCTCTTCCTTCTGTACTTCCTCCAATATTGGTAGAGGTCACACTAGCTTCTGTCATATTCTAACAATAAAATTAACACAAAATTGTAGGTAGATTCAAAAAAACACAACCCAAATATGTGACACCCCCAAAACCGGGGGTCCCGTTGACCACCCGTCAACCAGCGAAAATACCCGTGAATGTCGCACTGTAACACCCCGCATTTTATAGATATATAGTAAATAATTGTGGTAAACAAAAAAAAAATGTGGATATATGTAGTGATGTGTGTTTGAATTTGGTAGATTGGAAAAGTAGAGATTTAAAATGTTAGTGAAAATAATAGTTGAAATTCGGTTTTAATAAGTGAAAATATGAAATTTTAGGTCGTAGAACTTATATTAAATAGGTTTGGTGTAAAAATATGTGTTGGAGAGGTTTGGGATGGATTTGGTTGGCTTAAGAATGGATTGGAAATGAAAAAGGGACGAAGACAGACTGTGAACAATGCACGTGAACAGTGCACTGCTGCAACTTCAAGCTCGATTTAGACCTTGATGCAGTCAATATCTCTCAAAACTCAAAACATGAAAGTTTTAAAACTCTTTCGTATCATTCCATATCATCTTGAATCATCTCAATCGGAGCTTGGATGAGAGAGTTATGCTCAAATAACTAAACGATGTCGAAATAGTCCAATTAACTTCGTTTTGCATTTAATGTCTCAATTTGCATCCTAAATCAAAATATAAGAATAATGAGTACTTTTAGACTTCAAATAAGTATAAAAGGCTTTAAGAAACACCCTTTATCACATTTTATTTGCAAACATCGCAAAACTTCATTAATAGCCGATTCGGATGGATAAAATAGAAACTTTAGTGTTTTGGGTGTACGTTGACTTGAGTTTTGAGATAAATCATAAAAATAAATATTTTTAGGTTAAAATAACATTAAAAATGAATCCGGAACGTCGGCAAACCTTAGGGTAGTCATATGGATCAAATTGGAGATTCTTAGTGGCAAAACTGTAAATTAGGAGAAACCCAAAACAGCCTGTGAACAGTGTTTTTCGGGGCTGCTATGTTTTAAACTCATTTTCATCTCATTTGCTCTCATTTTCTTCACTCCCCTCACACCCCCACATCTCTTGAAACCCTAAAGGGCATTAGAGAAGAAGAAAGGAAGGGAAAAACAAGAGATTCAAGAGTGATTCAAGATCAAATATTCTTGTTCTTCACTCCAAAGATAAGGATTCAAGGTAGGGGTTTTCTCTCATTCACTTACATTGAGGCTAGGGTATTTATATATGTATGTTTTGGCTATCAATGGTATATATATGCTATGAAATCATCATCTCTTAGGCTTTTTGCAAGGATTACATGTTTTGAACAAAGTAGGGTTTA